ACAACCACATTCTTACCTGTCACTGTCCTCCATCATTCACTCATTATTATTCTAAGTTAGTGAAGTCTTCCTGCCTATATAATAAGTGTTTAGAGACACATTGGAATAATTCTTAAAGTTCCAAACTCTAAGATTTCCCAACTTAAATAAGACAGTATAAAATAGGTGTTATCCTTGCTATAGGGGATGTCCATATAAAGATCCTATTTTCCTCATCTCCATAGAGAATCAAAAGTCACACGGATGTTAGAATTCAGTGATTCAGGCTTCTTGTTTAGAAGATATATTTTATTATGGTTTCACTAATCTAGCCAGAGAAATATTTTGATGTACTCTTTTTCTGAACTTTTCTCCCTAAGTAAAATAAAGCTGTTAGGGTTAATAGTAGGGGGCCTTAGGAGGAAACCAATCAATGAGAAGCATTATCTCCCCACTTCTGATATAACAGCCTTGATGGAGAGGACCTTAAAATATCAGGACTGGCTTAGCATATCAGCGAGATGGCAGAATAAAAGTTTCCAGGATTCATCCCCTTATATAAACATCAATTTAAATAACAATCCACACAGAAAAAAAAATCTCCTCACTTTACTGCAAACCCCAGAACCAGTTCTGCCCCAGTGAACCCTAGCACCAGTACCGGTTCAGTCCCTGTAGTCCTAGGCCCCAGGCCTGCCCTCAGTGCCAGTCTGACCTCTGCAGTCCCAGGCTCCAAGTCTGCCCCCACAGTTTCAGCCACTAAGACCATCCCTGCAGACCCAGCCTCCAGAACCACTCCTGCAGACTCAGGTGCCAGGCCCACCCATACACACCCAGACTCTAGGTCAGCTGTCCAATGACTCCAGCAGCAAATCTTTCCTTGAACCCCAGTAGCCAGCATGCCCATAACCTCTAGACAAGCTAACTGGAGAAGGGCTTCCTTGTCAAAGCCAGTCTGTAAAGACTGGAATTGGTGTCTGCTTCTTCAAATGTGCAGACATCAATACAAGGCTACAAAGATCACAAAAAATCAAGGAAACATGACACCACCAAAGGAATAAAATAAAGCACCAGTAGCTGATCCTAAAGAAATGGTGATCTATGAACTTCCAGAAAAGAATTTTCTGGAAAATTAAGCAGCTTAAAGAAGCTCAGTCAGTTTTAAGAGAGCACAGATAGACAACTAAAAGAAATATAATATACAAATAACAAAATAATATCCAAATGAAAAGTTCAGCAGAGATAGAAGGCATTAGAAAGAGCCAAACATAAATTCCGGAGCTAAAAAATACAATGACTGAACTGCAAACTTTCATTGAGCTTTAATAACATTCAATCGAGCAGAAGAAAGAACTGTAGGCTTTAAGACAGGTCATGTGAAATTATCCAGTCAGAAAAGAAAGAAAAGAAAAGAAAAGAAAAGAAAAGAAAAGAAAAGAAAAGAAAAGAAAAGAAAAGAAAAGAAAAGAAAAGAAAAGAAAAGAAAAGAAAAGAAAAGAAAAGAAAAGAAAAGAAAAGAAAAAGAATGAAAAACAGTGAAAAGCCTATGGGACCTACAAGCCACCATTGTGGGAGGTAATATATGTACTATGGAGGTCCCAGACGCAGCAGAGAATGAAAAAGGAACAGAAAGCTTACTTGAAGAAATAATGACAAAAAACTCTCCAAATTTTCTGGAATAAATGTTCTGAAGACAGAAATAAACATCTATATCCATGCAGCCCAAAGAACTCAAATATATTAAACATAAAAAGATCTTCATCAAGATATATTATAATCCAATGCTCAAAACTCAAAGACAAAGAGAGAACTTTGAAAGCAGCAAGAGAGAAGTGACTTGCACATACAAGGGGACCTCCAAACGACTATAAATGGATTTCTCAACAGAAACCTTGCAGGCCAGTACAGAGTTGATAATATATTCAAAGTGCAGAAAGAGAAAAAAAATGTGAATTATAAATATTATAATCAGTAAATCTGTCCTTCAGAAAAGAAAAAGAGATAGACTTTCACAGACAAACAAAAGCTGAGTTTACCAACACTATATCTGCCTTACAAGAAATGCTAAAAGGAGCTCTTCAAGTTGAAAGAAAAGGATGATAACTAATAACATAAAAACTTATGAAAGTATAATATACTATAAAGGTAAGGATATAGTCAAATTCAGAATACTTTAATACTGTAATGTTGATTCATAAATCACTTTTAGTTCTTTAGTGTAAACATTAAAAGATAAAATTATTTTCAAAAATATAACTACCATGATTTGTTAATGGAGACACAACATAAAAGGATGTAAATTGTCACATTAATGACATAAAATGTGGAAGAAGAAGTAGAGTATATAATTTTTCTAAATGCAGATGAAATTAAATTATCAGCTTAAAATAGACAAATAGACTGTGATGACTATAATACATTTTATGTAAGCCTCATGATAACCACACACACAAAAAATCTGTAGTAGATACACAAAAGTAAAGTTAAAAAGAAATAAAGGAAGAAAGAAAGAAAAGAAAGAAAAAGAAATCAAAGCATAATACTATAAAAATGTATTAAAGGAAGACAAAAAAGAGAAAAAAAAAAACAAAGGAACTATAAAACAGTCCAAAAACTATTATAACAAAATGGAAAAAGTAAGTCATTACCTATCAATAATTAAAGTTAAATGGATTAAATTATCCAGTCAAAAGACATAAAGTGGCTAACTATATTTTAAAAATAAGGTCCAACTATTAATATATGTTGCCTCCAAGAGACTCATTTTACCTTTAAGGAACATATAGGCTAAAAGTAAAGGAACAGAAAAGGATATTCCATGTAAATCATAACAAAAAGAGTGCAGGCATGGCTATATGTAGATCAAACAAGATAAACTTCGAGTCAGAAATCTTTTTTTTTTTTTGAGACAGAGTCTTGCTTTGTTGTCCAGGCTAGAGTGAGTGCCGTGGCATCAGCCTAGCTCACAGCAACCTCAAACTCCTGGGCTCAAGCGATCCTTCTGCCTCAGCCTCCCGAGTAGCTGGGACTACAGGCATGCGCCACCATGCCTGGCTAATTGTTTATATATATATCAGTTGGCCAATTAATTTCTTTCTATTCATAGTAGAGACAGGGTCTCGCTCTTGCTCAGGCTGGTTTTGAACTTCTGACCTTGAGCAATCCGCCCGCCTTGGCCTCCCAGAGAGCTAGGATTACAGGCGTGAGCCACTGCGCCCGGCCAAGTCAGAAATCTTTATAAGAGACAAAGAAGGTCATAATATAATAATAAAGAGGTCACTTTATCAAAAGGATATAACAATTGTAAATACATATGCACCCAATATTGGGCACCTAAACATATAAAACAAATACTAACAGACCTGAAGGGAGAAATAATGATACAATAATAGTAGGAGACTTCACTATTCCACTTTCAGCAATGAATAAATTATCTAGACAGAAAATCAATAAGGAAACAGTGGACTTGAACAATACTGTGCATCAAATGTCTTGCAACAGGATTGGCTTGTCTCTATTGACCAATTTCTGCTGCTTAATCACAAGCATCCTCATCATTTCATCCACTTGGTTGTAGTAGACATCTGCTGTAATCAACTGACCAGGTTTCATGAAGCTGTAGTAGATAATACCAGCCCTGGACCACCAAACAGATAACCATTAGCTTTTTTTGATGAACATTCAGTTTTGAAATATGTTTCAGCACTTCATCTTTATCCAACCACCAGATGGTTTGCCTTTATGTCCTGACAGTGAAGAAAGTCAAACATTGAGACAATTTCTCTTCTGATGCTTATTTAATACATGTGGTACCCATCTATCCAGCTTCTTTACCTCGCCAATTTGTTTCAAATATTCCAATATTGCTGGAATAGTAATGTCAAACCTTGCTGCTACTTCACATGTAGGTTGAGATAGATTTGCTTCCACTGCAGCTTTAAGCTCATCATTATCTACCTTGGTCTCAGGCCACACACATGGCTCATTTTCAAGATTAAAATCACCAGAATGGAACTTCTCAAACCATGGACGCACTGTGTGTTCATTAGCCACATCCTTTCCAAGCACTTTATTGCTATTTTGAGCTGTCTGCACTGCATTGGCTCCACAATGGAACTCATATTCAAAAATATAATAAAACGGCCATACCACCCAGAGAAATCTACAGATTCAATGCAATTGCTATTGAAATACCAATGGTTTTCTTCAGAGAAATTGAAAAAGCAATTCTAAAATTTATAAGGAACTACAAAAGAACTGGATGAAATAGCCAAAAAGCAATCTTCAGCAAAAAGTACAAAGTTGGAGGCATCACGCTGTCTGATTTCAAAATATATTAATACTACAAAGCTATAGTAATCAAAACATCATATTACTGGCATAAAAATAGACACATAACAATGGAACAGAAGAGAGAGCTCAGAAATAATTCATACATTTATGATCAATGTGTGAAAATATATATGTATGTGTGTGTATATATGTATATGTATTTATATATTATAGGTAATATTATTCATCCTTAAAAAATGAGGGAGTCTTGCCTTTGCAACAACATAGATGAACCTGGAGGACATTAATGCTAAATAAAATATGCCAAGCACAGAAAGACAAATACTGTATGATCTCACTTATATGTGGAATCTAAAAATGTTGAACTCATATAAGCAGAGAGTAGAATAGTGGTTTCCAGGGGCCTGGGAGTGTGGGGGAAATAGGAAGATATTGGTCAAAGTGCACAATTTTTAAATTTTACAGAGTGAATAAGTTCTGGAGGTCTAATGTACAACATGATGACTATATTTAGTAATACTGTATTGTATAACTTGAAATTTGCAGAGAGAGTAGATCTTAAATGTTCTTATCACACGCACTTCAAAAAAATGATGAGTATGTGAGATGTTGGATATGTTAATTAGTTTGATAGTGATTATCATTACATGCATTAAAACATCATGTTGTACACTTTAAATATATATAATTTTTGTTCACAAATTATACCTCAATAAAGCTGGGAAATAAATTAATAAATAAGTAATTAAAAAAAAAAACTTATGGCTGATTTTATTCACTGGGGGCCAAAGATCAAAGGTCAGAGTGCCAGGCAGGAACAAGAGTGCTATGGTGTGTATCTTACTGGACTCACCTGATACTTTAAGATGCAAGCTAACTACTCAAGGCTTCCATTATAGGAATGTGGCAAGCAAGTGAAAATGGGAACCCATCACTAGCCAAATCCTGATTCAAAAAGAGTTATTGTATCACATCCAGTGCCATCTACTTTCTTCCTGAGAAAGAATCTCCAGGTTGTAAGAATGGGTGGTTATAGGCCAGAAATAAAAGAAAGGGATGAGCTAATGAGTGCCACATCTACATTTTCCTTTTGGTCCATCAGTAGGCTTCTTTTCCTTTTGTTAAAATTTCTTTGTTTACAAATGCTGAACTGAAACAGATAGTTGGACTATATTCCAAGCAGCCTAAAAACCATTTGCAAAAATAGAATTTTTTAGCAGTGTATAGGCTCATTTGCCTGGCTAGTGGGCCCTCATGTTTGGATATTATAAGAGTGCCTTATTGTATTAGTTTCCTATTGCTACTATAACAAATTACCATATTCTTAATGGTTTAAAACAGAAGAAGCTTATTCTTTCACAGTTTGGGAGGTCAGAAGTCCAAAGTCAGTATCATTGGACCAAAATCAAAGTGTCATATAGGCCATACTTCCTCCAGAAGCTCTAGGGGAGAATTCATTCCTTGCCTCTTGTAACTTCTGATAGCTGCCAACATTCCTTGGCTTATGGACACATCACTATAATCTTCAAAGCCACTCTAATCTTGAAATCTTTCTCTGTTCCATCTTTATATCACCATCTTCATTGTGTGTGTCAAATTTCCCACTGCTTTCCTGTTAGAAAGATATATGCAATCATAGGTATTCTTAAAAGGATCCTTAGGGAATAACTAGATAATCTGAGATAATTTCCCATCAGACACATCTTAACTAAATCACATTCACAAAGACTCTTTTTGCTATATAAGTTAACGTTCACAGGTTTTAGAGATTAGGACATGAAGATCTTTGAAGGACCATTTTTTAGACTACCATACCAATATCCTACCTATTATTTACCACATACAAATTCACATAGACAGAAGTAGAGATAAAACCCAAAACCAACTGGCAAATTGTTGGTCTATTCTACTTCAAACTTTGCCATACAAGTAGTAATATTGAGTTATCTGGAAAATTCACCTGAGAGTAATTCATTATTCATACAGTATAGGATGTATAAGATGCTTTAAAAATAAAATAAAATAAACTCTTCAGTAGTTTGATTTCAAAATACAGCATTTAGTTGAGTTCTCTATTTTGTATCAGCTTTAGAAAGAATTTAGAGGAAGGAAATAGCAGAAGATGTAAACAGGTAAAAGATAATACCATGCTCGTGGGTCAGCAGAATCAACATTGTTAAAATGTCTATAATACCCAAAGTAATCTACAGAGTCAATGCAATCCCTATTAAAATACCATCATCATTTTTCACAGATATAGGAAAAATAATTTTATGCTTCATATGGAACCAGAGAAGACCCTGTATACCAAAAGCAATCCTAGACAATAAAAACAAAATGGGAAGTATCATTTTACCAGACTTCAAACTATACTACAAGGCTATAGTAATTAAAACTTCTTTGTACTGGCAGAAGAACAGGGTCATTGACCAGTGGAATAGAACAGAGAACCCAGATACAAAGCCATCCTCATTGGCCATCTAATCTTTGACAAAACAGAAAAAAAGCATACACTGGAGAAAAGAATCCTTATTCAGTAAATGGTGCTGTGAAAACTGAATAGCCACATGTAGAAGACTGAAACAGGATCCCCATTTTTCACCTCTCACAAAAATCAACCCACACTGGGTAACAGACTTAAACCTAAGGTGTGAAACTATTAGAATTCTAGAGGAAAGCATTGGAAATACTCTTCTAGACATTGGCCTAGGCAAAGAATTTATGAAGAAGACCCCAAAGGCAATCACAGCATCAACAAAAATAAATTAATGGGATCTGATCAAATTAAAAAGCTTCTGCACAGCCAAAGAAACTGTCACAAGAGCAAACAGACCACCTATAGAATGGGAGAAAATTTTCGCAAGCTACACATCTGATAAAGGGCTGACAACTAGAATCTATTTAGAACTCAGGAAAATCAGCAAGGAAAAATCAAACAACCCTATCAAAAAGTAGGCAAAAGTTTCTTTTGCCTACTTGAACAGAAACTTTCCAAAAGAAGACAGAATGATGGCCAACAAACATATGAAAAAATGCTCAACATCTCTAATCATTAGGGAAATGCAAATCAAAACCACAATGAGATATCACTTATCTCCAGTGAGAATGGCTTTTATCAAAAAGTCCCAAAACAATAAATGTTGGTGTGGATGAGGAGAGATAGGAACACTCCAACACTCCTGGTGGGATTGCAAACTAGTGTAACCTTTGTGGAAAGCAATATGGAGATTCTTTAAAGCGATACAAGTAGATCTACCATTTGATCCAGCAATCCCATTCCTGGGCATCTACCCAAAAGAACAAATGACACTCTATGAAAAAGAACCCTGCACTCGAATGTTTATAGCAGCACAATTCACAATTGCAAAGATGTGGAAACAACCCAGATGCCCATCAATCCATGAGTGCATTAATAAAATGTGGTATATGTATACCATGGAGTACTATTCAGCTATAAGAAACAATGCTGAGATAGCACCTGTCGTATTTCCCTGGATAGAGCTGGAACTCATTCTACCAAGTGAAGTATCCCAAGAATGGAAAAATAAGTACCACATGTACTCACCAGCAAATTGGTATTAACTGATCAACACCTAAGTGAATATATAGGAATAACAATTATCGGGCATTGGGCAGATGGGAGGGGAGAGAAGGGGATGGGTATATTCATGCAGAATGAGTGAGATGCATACCAACTGGGGGATGGACCCGCTTGAAGCTCTGACTCCGGCGGGGGGGGAAGGCAACACATGTAACCTAAACATTTGTACCCCTATAATATGCTGAAATTAAAAAAAGAAAGAATTTAATAAAGAAATAAGGGTGAAAACAGAGAACTAGAATCATGCTCCAGCCTCTAATTATGATACATTTACTTTCCCAATCTGTCAATTTAGGAAGGTATGTGAGGAGGAGAGGAGAAATAGTGGAGTTGTCCACACTTGGCCTTCAGTGTATCCTTAAATTCCCTGTAGAAACTGTGTGACAAAGTGAACACCATTTGCTTCTGTATTGGAAGAGGACATGAATCCCTGGGGTAATAAAACTCAACTCAATTCAATTCACAGCCCAAGAGAGTATATAGAATTAGATTCAGAAATAAACCCTTGAGAATTTAAATACATTTTAATATCCTAAAATGTCACGTTGATGAGTGATCCATGCAAGATCGTGCAGTGGACAAGATTAAAGGGTGGAGATAGATTGGAAGCAAACATATGACCTTAAGAGTCTGCAACTCCAGAGGAAGCCAAAATGATCCTGAACCTCAAAGAAAGTGAGTAGGAGAATTGTTGCCCATAAAGCCTTCAAAAGGAAATCTTTGCTTTTTGTTTTCACCTTTTATTAATATTTCCACTGTTTTTTCTCTCCTATTAAATATTTTCTAGTCCTGTAATAAATTACATGTTCTGAGTGGGTATGGGTAAGAGGAGGGTGGGTAAGAGACATTCTGAGATTTAAACCAAAAAGTTACTCAACAGAGCACACACACACACACACACACACTCTCTTTCTCTCTCACACACACACACTCCCACATAGCTCAGGAAAACTGCATTAGGACATCCATGTACTACACCTAGGGTAAAGTGACTCACAAAGCTAAATCGTGCCAACGATTTCTAATCCCAGCTCGCCAGGGATTTAAATTGTACAATGAGGAAATGACTTGTTGGATAACTTCCAGAGTTCTTCTTAAAATTTAATTGCAGCATACCTAACACTTTTATAAAATATATACATTTCACTTATGTTTCTTAGTCAAAATATTCTTCTAACCTATTTTTTTTAGTAAGTGACAAAAGTGTTCTTGTTGTAATTAATGAAGTACAAAAATATTGGGGAAACATGCCTAAAGGCTTTAACTATAATTCTATTACTAATATATTCCCTTGGCTTGCCTTTTGAACTCTGCTGCCTCTTGCCTTGCAGCTGTGTTTAATGAGTAGAGAGATTATTCAAATGAGTCCACGGCAGAGCATTATTTCTGAGGCTCTAGCTTTCCTGAGCAGGCATCTTCTCTTACAATCAAGCAATAAGAGCAGACCATCACTCTTTAGTTACCAGGTCATGTATGTGGTAAAATAATTCCATAGACGCCAGATCACATCCCTAGATTGGGAGAGAAGCTGCTAATGATCCCATGACCAGACAGAAGGACAGCAGAAACAGCCTTCAAGGTGAAAAATGAAAAGGCACCTACACTAGCCTCTACTGTGCATCAGCTTTCAATTTGTCACTACCTATCAGTGATGGAGACTGTTAGGGTCTAATAATGAAAACATGCAAGCTTACAAAATAGTCTCTTTAAAAATCACTGTTTGTGGGCACATGGCCTTGGCTCCAACTCACATTTAGGAGACCCACTACAAATAGGCCAATGTTTAATTATTTTTAGGATGTTAAAGTGACTTTCTACTCATGTAAGATTTAAAAGTAAGAATAACTCTCCAGGGGAGAAACCCCTGAGACGATTACAAAGTTGCCAAGAAAATTTAATAAGAACTAATTTTGAACTGATAAGTATTCAATCCAATATGGTTGGATTAAGCAATAAGAATTCTTCCTGGGAATTTACAGAGAGATAAGCATCTCATGAATAAGTAAATTCTGAAACAGGAGGCTATGGGGTGTTTATTGATTCTGAAATCATTTGTTTGAGAAATTGCCCTTGAGGAAAAACTATTATGGCTGATAATATAATAGTTATATTCAGAGACAACCCACATCTTTGACTGATGGCAGAATAGAATAGAATAGAATAGAATAGGAAGATTGCCCACACAATGCAAAATTTATAAGCAAAAGTTTGATCTTCAAAATCCAATCATTATAATCTTTCATTTCCTAATTCCTATAAGTTAATTTTCAGATGTAATTTTAAAAAGTCAAAAATAATAAGTAAAAGCTAAATAACCAGGGTCCTCAATTTACTAAGTACTTTTGCCACAACTGGACTTGAAATATTTTTGCAAAAAGGCTGACTCTGGGGACATTTGAAGGTCCATACCCATTCACATCTACCCTTTACATCATCTGCATCTCCTTCTGCAACTCAGGATAATTAGTATTATTAATAAAATTTAAAGCTATTTTTTATTTTCAAAAATTTTATCATTTTCAAAACAAATTCTTTTTTAGTTTACCATTCTTATTAGAGTAAAAAACAGGAAAAATGTAGTCACTTTTAATAATAGGAGAAACACAGGTTTTTTGGTAGATTCTAAGCTAGCCAAAATATTCCATAATAGTACGCTGTGCTTTCTAATTGGGTGGGTTTTTTTTCCTAAACATTCCTCTTAAAGGACACCTCCTGGTTGCCACCTTTAAAAACTGCTATCTAACATAAAGTGAGGTAACAGAATTCAATTTAGTTTCCAATAAAAACTCAGTTGCTATAACAAGACTGTCTTCTATGACAGTATTCTTGACAAATCAGCACCTGCACTGGGTTCCACATGAGGGGTGAACTGCCCATCCTCTCCTGCCTACTTCTAGTCTCTGAGGAAAAGTGAGTTCTCTTCAGAGCAAACTCTCCCTTTCTCTGTCCTCTGAAACTCATCCTTCCTATGTCTTCCAGGACCACATTGCATCAATTATTCCCTCTTCTAG